CACCAAATCTAGAGTTTTTCAAACTCTTCTTACATTTTAACCAAGATTTAGTCTTTCTGCATAAATTATATATCCCTAGCTTTGTCATGAAGGTCTTCCTAGAATACAGCAGTTTGCTTTCTATACTCCCTAATAAGAGACAAAATTGCTTGCTTAAAACAGTGTGCAGATGTTCTAGCTGTGAGTACGGGAAGAGGGATTGGCTGAAAGACAAAGATGAAGAGGTGTGTTAGAATAGCAACAAATGGTGATAAGGCATCTGTCAAACATACTTGTGACAACTTCCAGTAAAAAGCAGTTCAATGGTATATAAAATAAGCAAACAACTGGGAGCCACCCAGGCTCCATATAAATTATTTCTTCTCTATCAAAAAGCTGATGTGCAAGAACTTGACACCTCCTACCATTTGGCCAAGTGGCAATACTATCAGGTAACTTTACAAGCAAAACTAGAGACTGGTCTGTCTTTGCCCTACCCAGTCAATAGCCTGGCTATTTCATATGCTTCTGGCAAAAATTGCTGCTCTGTGTACATTTCCTAAGTAGAAAGGTCTTCACTGATCAATCTCATCTAACATAGGAGACAGTGACTGTTTTTAGCTTCTCTTCTGCTTTTCCCCCATGCCAAAAAGAGGATATGTGTTGAATAAGAGCAAATTCTGGCTTGACAACCATTAAGTAATAGGATCAACATATTAAAAGCATTTATATCCCATGTTTGGAAATAACTTAGGCTCTTAGATGCTGTGGTCTCACTGAAATGTGAAATAGGGCTTCTAAATGGCCAGGAGAGTTCCAGAAAAGATCCAGAAAATGGATCTATGCACTAACCTCATGTACACTCTTTTAAGTGTATTATCCTATGCAAAACTATCTAGTATTAAATAATTCACTCAGTGGGGAAGGACAAGATCTTTTTTCTCCTTTTTTTCCCTTTTTTCCCCTCATTATTGAAAAAATCCCCCTTCTTTCCCCAAAACATGCTCTATTGAAAATATTGTTCTCACCATGACAATGTTGATATTTAGATAATTTTCTTTTTTACTGTACCATTATATGTCACTTTCAGCTTAATCTTTGAATAATCAGTCATATTTTTATTTACAAATGTTGATAATTAAGTTATTGAAAATACTTATCCTCACAAGGGAAAGCTGTTTTTTTCCCTCCCCTACTAAGTGGCCTGCATGTATCTGTGTATAAAACTGAAGTAAAACTTTTCCTGTTTGTTTACTTCAGAAGCAGAAGATGCATCAAGTTATTCTTCAGACTTTTTAAAAGATTGATGTAAAAAGACCGGTGTCTGGTTTCCTATGCCCAATCCTAAACCAGCTTGTCAACTTGGCAAGCAATTTGTCTGTGACGGTTCCAAAGCAGAAAGGAGAAAAGCTGAAAATGTTGTAGTTGCCTGAGCCAGCGCGAGCCCCGGGAGGCCACATGTTCTGTTTGATGTAGCCAAGGAAAGGTTAGCCTTCTGCACCAGTCACAAACCAAATGGGAAATCTCCAGTGGGAAGTCAGGAGCTGTTTGTGAGCAGGACAGGTTGTTCCTGCAAATCTGGTTGTGCCAGGTTCTCTGCAATACTCATCTCCATAACCAAGGCTGGCAGTTATTAGATTGCTGCACCGTAAATTTAAGGTCTGTTGTAATTGTTCCTCTCAGAAACATAGATATACATTCATACACTAGCTTTGCAAGCCGAAGGTGAGAGTATTAACAAAGAGTGGGGAAGCTTGTGATAAGTGGAGGAGGCAGAGAAGAAATAAGGAAAAATAAGAGGTAGTGGAAAGCATAGGTAGTATCACGAAAGGCAATGGACAGCCTTTTCCATTTACCTTTCCCTGATGCCTTGCAAGCAAATATATTGTTCCTATATACGTACATCTCTTCCCAAAAGGTCTGCCTTTGGGGAGAATTCAGTATTCCTGTACATAAAGTTATACCTATGCTTTGGATCCAAGTTACCCATTTTCATATTTTTAAGCAGAAATTTTGTCTCAGACTTTCAGGTGGAACAAATACTCATAGCCCGTCAAACCTATTTAAAATATCAGAGGAGCTGTTAGGTTTTTATTCATTTTTAATGTGTTTTTACCAGCCGAAATTTTAAAAAGTTTTGTCAACTTTTGTAATTCTCATGGTCTTATAAACAATCCTGAGGGTTGCTCTTGAGCGGGTGATGATTGTACAGATGCACACAAGCATGCAAATCCCCCCTGTGGATTCAGGACCAGAAAATATCCCCTTCCGGTGCTGGTAAAGATGCACTTAAAGGTGATTCTGTCCCTTTCGTTAAGAGCTCCATGGGGTAGGTCCGAAAAGCAAACCCCATTCAATAAAACAAAAAATAACGAGTTCTATCCTCTACAATTGCAGGTATTCCTACCCTGGGTTAGAAGTGAAATCCTGGAGAAACATGGTGAGATGTTTCTTTAACATATGCCCCAATAACCGTTCAGTTTTATTCCGTCCTCCTGAGCGGTTGCATTCTCTCTGCCAGTGATGCTCTTCTAAATCTCCTGGGTATTTGTTTTCCTCCTAGCAGTCCTCTTGACACTCTCTTTGGAGCTGCCCCTTTCATCCTCTTAATTAACGCAACACTTCAATTCCACTCATGACATTTTGCAGATGGGTTGCAAGATTGGTGTCATGTCAAGACTCATTGACAGACTGAAAATTTGTCTCATTCAATGAAATGTTGCAATTTTCTCTTCAATTTTATCATTTAACCTTACCATAACCACTTGCCCGTGGAGTTGAGGTGAACAATGTTACATCTTCCACAATTAACTAGTCTCAATGTATTAATTGGGCCTTATATCTCCTATAGAATGTCAAAAGTTGTTACGACAAGTTAAAAGCCATCCTGTAACATAAATATCAAGTCAGCTATATTATTCTGGAGGTTAATATCTCTCTTTTCAGTGCTAGGTTTTGCTAAAACGTACATAAAATTTAGCATGCCTTTTAGACTGTCTATTTGCTAACCCTCTGAGGAAGCTATCACGGTATTATTTTAGCTATTACAATACAGGTATTACTTTTGTATTTTATAATATATATATATATGTGATTTCCTAATAAGCGTCCCTTTTTTCTGTAACCCACTCTATCTCCATTGTAACAGAGAAAATACATGTTCTAAGGTTCTGCAGTTTTCTGTGAAGAACAAAATATTGGGGAGATTAAACACTAGACATGGAAGACAAGTTCTTCCATCAGATGCCTTATGGGTAAACTGGAAATAAATAAAAGAAGGCAAATTTAGAAAAAAAAATAAAGATTTCTGGAATTGTGGAGTCAAAAGTTTGATCACTCCAATTTTGTTACTTTAAATTGAGTGAATGAACATTATGTATATTTAAACAAAAAGTTCTGTGTAAGAAGACCACATGCAGCTTTGCTTCTGGTTAATTTTTTCACTTATTTTTTAAAGATTACTTATCACAGAAATCCAAACAAAGTTCAAACTACACTGAAGAAAATTTCCAATTAAGTACTATAGCATCAGTCTGTTAGCATCCTTCAAGTATTTCCAAAGCCACTTTTGCACTCAAATTTTCATAATAAGATAGGAATTGAGAATGGACCACCATTAGAAGACCACTTTTCAAGAGAAGACTTCAAAACTATGTCCAACTTTTGTGAACCATTCATTGGCTTAGGCTAAAATAAATTCTGTCAAGGCTAGATAGAAATAGCAATAATAGCATCTGATCTGTGCAAGCTGGTTTTCTTTTAACATGCAGTTGCCAATATTAAAAAAAATTGCAAATCAGAAGGCTACATATTTATGAGAACTAGTCTCCATAAATCACAAATTTTATCCTGTTTGAAGCTTCCTTCTAAATTAGAACAGTAAATTTGGAAGTTAAACTTGTAAATCAGTTTTATCACTGTCTATGTGTGCATATGTATAAGTATATTTGAAATTCCAAATTGAACTTGTAAGTAGGCCTGATAACTTTTCCTACTTCGAATTTCATCTCTTTCTAGGAGGTGGGAAGGGAGTCATGGGAGTGTTATGGCTGGTATCATGCATGAATATGCATTTCATATGTTGTGCATGCAGTACCGCACACTTTCCTTACTGCAATGGAACTATCGGTCCTTACAACAGTAAATAATTCTTTAGAAAATTATCCAATTAGTTAAATCTGCAACTTTAATAAAATACAACCAGATTCTGATTCACAGCAACAGTGAATCAGCTGCAGATTTCCAGTTCCATACTAAGCTACAATGATATAAAGCTAAAGAAATGGGGACTGCAGACTTGCTTGTCTTTCTAATATAACACAGTATACCACAGCTAAAAAAGAGTATCTTCCTCTATTACTGTAGTAGAGACAGCACTTACTGGGACCTCTACTGTTCCAGGTATCTGTAGCACTGATTCAAACCAGTAATAGTTTGCCGTGATAATAAAATGATTTATTGTATGCATACTCTGTAAATTACATTCATTCTGAAAAAATAGTGGTGTCTTCAGATCTATTTTATATATAAGGAATAGTTTCACCATCAAAGCTACAGACAATTAAATGTAGAATAACCGGTGACTTTAGGCATCAAACGAATCAAGGGATAGCATTCTTTGCATGCTTTGTCAGCTCCAGAGCATCCAAAACACAACTGAAAATAAAGGATACATTTCTGGTCTTAATATAATTTGTATATTGTGAAATATTAAAAATGTGAACGGGAAGGAAAGGTGCTGTCAGAGGTCAAACAATTTTTAATGCTTTTTCATTTTCTCTAGTTGCTTGGTAAGCTGATGGAAAAGCATTCCCTTTTGCTTGGCAGTAACCTTCAGAGATCTTTGTAATGCAATTTTGCACACTTTGTACATTCTTTTCCTCATGTTTTTACGCTTGTTTATGAAGCTATCTGGAAATGTATCCCTATTATCATACAGGCTTATCTGAAGTTGTACCACACATAAAATAAGCCAATTAATTAGTAATGATGGGCTATTTTCAGCTGCACACTCATTTTCAAATGAATTTATTGAAGTAAAGGATTTACAGCATATGGACTCACAGACTTCTCATGAGTTAAACCGGCATCCATATGTACAGCTTTCAGTAGAGAACTCTAGAGTAATATTTACAATGTAAATATCAACTTTTATTACATAAGAAACAAATATATCACAACTTTCACTTCACAACATATTTGTTCTGGTTTGATGACTAAAGTCATCTCTTTGAAATACTATGTGGAACTCAAAAATAGCTTGTTCTTGTCATAGACTTTACCAGGTGTCCTTCAGAGGTCCTGAAAAGCAAAGGAGAAATATGTTTTAAAAGTCATTTTCGTAAGCAGTTGCATCATGAGGTGTATAAAAGCAGACAGCAGACAAGAAGTAACACTTGATATAAAACAATCGCTGCGCTTGGGACTGACAAGCACGAGATGGAGCTATTCACAGGAGCTTGGCGGGCACTACGGCCAGCAGACAAGGCTGTAGGATGAGGAAGAGAGGTCGAAGGATTAGGCAAAAATGTTACTGCACATTGGCCTACAGGACAGATACACGAAATCAGCTTGCTTGATACACACTACATCAGCAACTCGGCACTGCGACAAAATGACCAGCAACAGTCAATACCGAGTAAGCGATTCACCCATAGAGAGATCTGGATCATCAGTATAGTCCATAAAAAAGGAAAGGACTGAAAATATTTCCAGGAAGACACCCGCGACCCGCTGCACCATTACTCTCTCTCACTTAGTCAATGCCAGAAGTTTTAGAAGGTGCAAAATCCAGGAGCAGATATTTTTGCAATAATCTTGTCTAGAAAGAACGTTTCTTTCCTGAATCCCATCACTTGCAAATTGTTTTGTTTCTTGAAGCATAAGCAGTTTATGTCCTTTCTAATCTTTGGGAACTTCAGAGGAACTACCACATTTGTGGAAAGGAAAAGAACATTTTCTTTCAGTGTTGGAAGGAAACAATAGTTTGGAGAAATGCCTTTTCTTTTATCCCCCTCCTCCCCCCAAAAAATATTATCTTCAAGATTAGTCTTTTTTCTTACTTGTAGTTGAGACACAGCTGAATGCCAAAAACCATCCTATCATCAATTTCATAATAGACTTTCGAGAATACCAAGCCCGATTCACTTCTACGTTGCCCTTTCAATTTTATGTCCCTGCAAGTGCTGTGATGTAGAAGGGTTTATGTTTCAGTAAACCAAAGAAACATATGTGTGAATGATTTTAGAAAAACAGTAGTAGCTAAATGGAAAACAGTAACTGCAATATTTGCATGTCAGACAATCCCTCTGCAGCACACCTTAGATGGGAGTCAAGTGCTTGCTTAATGCTTAGGGTTCATGTTGCTGATCCTCTCAGTTCTAGGGGCAACTAGAATGTGCAGCTTTTTTTTTTTTTAATTAAAAGAAATATCCTTGAGTTTGTTCTCTGAAGAAATAATAATCTTTGTAATTAAAAATGAGTCAATTCTGGTTTTATGCTGCAGTGCACACAAGTTGAAACACCCGAGTGAGTTAGGTGCATTATTAACAGTGCCATTTAATTAGGAATTTTCAATAACAGCAATCATGGGATAACTTAATTATTGTTATTAAAATGATTATTATATTCAGACACAACCCCTATAGCAACATGCAGTGTTTCATGGAACATGGCTCTTTCCTAGACGATTCTGCTTTTCTGTCAGAAAAGCCACACTTCATGTATGATTAATCTCATTTTATGGGTCAAGTCAAGTAACAGATCGCAAGAGGAATGAAAATCTGGGCATACCAGTGGGAGGTGGCTCAGCAGCTCATCTACAGAATCATAGTTTTCTGAAAAGGAAGGTTCAGGAAGTTCTGCTTCGTCTCGAAGTTTAGCGGGGTTTAGCTCTTCCTGGCTGTTGTGGATCAGAAACAAGTTTTATTGCTCTCTGAAGAAAAAGCAAACAAGCAAGCAAAGCTGCCTTCTAACCGTAGCTATTGCACGTTTTGTTACGCTTATACCAAAGTGTTACAAATCACATGAAATAGCATGTTTAATGGGTGAAGAAACATGATATTTAAAAGGACTTGTCTAAATGAGTGCATGTACAAACTGAATATAAGCTCTACAAAAACATATGCTGGCACTTCTCACCTATACTGATTAGGAAATATGGTCTTTCTGGGACTTCTAAATTTTCATTTTATGTGTTTACTTAAAGGCAGATTTTCAACAAATAGTGCATTTTCTTTATAAAATTGTTGTTCATGTTCCATAGCTCTGTGGATTTTTCCTTAAGAGGCTTTTTTATAAATAAAACCATTTTAAGAGCCTGTCAGAAGCTTTTTAAAATTGCCAGATGCTGTCTCCTCTTTATTCTTTTATTCTAATCTGATTGTAGTGTCTGTTCCAGTCTGGAAGAAAATGCTGTTTGTATTTGAAAACCATGTTATAAACTACGTTATAAAGTCATTAATGTTCATTGCCTTTTGTTTGTCCTCTCTGTATACATATGTGGGTATAAATCTTTTCTGTCTTAATACCATACAAGTATGAAAATAATATATATTTGCTTTCTTGTAGTACCTTCTTTTTCCAGTTAAAACTGAGTTTAAGTATTTCTTCACAGCCATTTGCTTTCGAAAGCGGCTGTAGTTGTCAGTGAAGACAGCGTCAGAGTGGCGTTTGACAGGACTGTCCTGGGAGCTGGCAATGCAACAATTAGAGAAAAAAAATTAATGGACGATATCCGTTTAAAAGAAGATACCATTAAATGAGTGAAACAAACTTTACAATGTTGGTTAGCTAAATAAAATCAAATTTTCATTTCAGCTTTCATTTCCAACTATGACTTTGGATCTTTCTTCCGTTGAAAAGAAGCCACTGCTTCTATTGCTCACTATATATTTCAGTAACAAGGATCAAATTCTAAGGATCGGTATTCAGTCTTTTTGGGCACACCTTCCACTGATTTCTTTCTCCTGCTCAAATTTGCCATGCCCCATGCAATTAGGATCCATACGCAATGATTTCTAGAGTCCCTGTCCCAGGAATTCTGCAGGATCAAATGGCTGAGTGTGGATTTCACGACCTCCTCCTGTCTGTTCTCATAGCCCAGGTTACTCTTTTTAATAAACTGACTTCATTCCGATTTCTATCATTTGTGTAAATATATTTTAGTACAATGCCAAGGTGCAGACTGGTTTAAGTCACAGTAAGCTCTTAAAGGACCTGGTCACTGTTCATGTTGAACTCAGCGAGGACGGAGCCTGCCCCTGAGGAAAGTGAGAGTGTAGCATCACATACATAGCTACAAACGCTTGTTTTAAGGAGGTATCAGGAGACCAAACACACCTTGTGAGCTCTGGTGAGGCCTATTTTTCATGCACGATCTTGAGAAGCCTCGGTGTGTTCTGCTTTAAATGATCTATGTTAGTTTATAGCGTATGAGAAACTGGCACTATGTGTTCTGGAACAAAGGCAGCATTGACACAAATGCAGGACCTAATTTTCACTCAGCTTTTGAGAGTATGAAGTAGGCACTCAAAGGAACTGTCATATTGGGTCAGACCAAACTATTCTACTATTCCGTTCCCAAGAGTGCCCAGTAGCTGCTGCTTAGGGATAGGAAAACAAGGGAAGTGTACAGTGATCTTTCCCAGCATCCTGCGACCATTAGTTTGTGAACATCCTGGTCTGGAAGTTGCATCCAGATCCCTTGTCTATGGATTTGCCTCATTCTTTTTCGAATCCTTCTATAACACAGACCTCCCAAACATCTGGCAATATGTTCTACAGTAGGGAAAAAAAATCATTCCGTTTTGTTTTCACTGTAAACCAATCGCTTCTTAATTTCACTGAGCACTCCCCTGTTGTTATGTGGGTACTGAGTAATCAATCATTTTGTATTTACTTTTGCCATTCATCCGCCAAGCTAGTAAAAACACTACCAGAGAAAAAAATTAGCAAATTGGCGTGATATTCATTATAATATTGCCAGTATTTATTATCAGTGCTATGTGCAGTGTCTGTTGCTCTGCCCCTCACAGCTGTATCAGGAATAAATAGCAACGTACTCATTTAGTAACAAATACCACTAAGTTGTTATATAGGATTTTCAGCTCCCCATCATTATATCGGTTTCTCTTTCATTATCTCTAAATCGCAAAAATAAGAACTTAGGTACAGAAGGGTAAAAAATTGCCAATGAAGCCAGCTAGAAAAAAATTCTACCTAATGTAAGTGTCACCTCACCTAACTCGTTTTCTAATAAGCGAATGCAGATATCTCTTCACAGCAAGTTTAGCCAAAAGATGGCTGTAGACACTGGTGAAAATTCCATCAGCATGCCTTGCATTTCTGAAATGGACAATAAATAAACTCTACAATACAACCTGGGTTCATATCATTTTGATAATGTTCATTTTGTAAACATACTGCTTTCCTTAAGTTATCTATTGTACATATTAAATTAAGCTAATTTCATAAAACAACTGCCAGATTTTCACAATATACTTTTTAGCCCTTCCTGGGAAGTGAATGAACTCATCGTGCCAGAATGGCAATGCAATCAACATTTCTGCAGACATTCCTACTGCTACCAGTATTCAACCAGAGGCCATGTGGGTTTTTTCGGTAATTGATTCTTCCTGTCCTATTTCTCAGTTTGAAAACGTGACCGATCTTTTGGCATAATTCAAGTAGCGCGTCATCATTTGTATTTATGATAATAAAGAAACTCACCTATCAATAATTCTGGACAGATCGAAGTAGAATTTCTCGTTTTCAGGTAGTGTGTTCTGCAAAATGTCTGATTCAGACTTTAATGACCCATGGGCATGGTCAGGTTCACTGGCTCCATCAAATGGCATTCTGTTTCCCAATCTGTTGGAGAGGGAAGCCATGTGAAGTCCCGTTAGCTGAGGACGTGCAACACTTCACCGCAGCTTACATTCTGGTTTGTGTCAAAATGCACATCTACCTACTTTAACCTGTAAGGCATTTTAAGGTAGTCTGGATAAAACAAAAATCACTTTCAAGTATAATCTGTGCTCAGTGACAGAGTAATCGACATAACAGACCCTTCCCTCTAACGCATATTTTCTAGATACATGTTGTCATTGCACACAATTTATTCCAGTGAACAGTGCATCATGTATGGCAATTACAGCTCAAGTGACAACCGCGAAGCTTTTCATAACAACCATTTTATATAAACGATGGATGGAATTACCAGCCTCCACCCATGCAAAGTGAAAACAGTTCCTGTGAAGTACTTACCTTCCAATTAAGACTTAAAATGTGCATTGAAATGCAGTATGAAACAGTTCTTAAGCCTTCTCTAAAGAAAGTAAATACACCCTCAAGAACCTCAAACTAAATATGAATTGTAGCCGTGTATCTCTACGTGTTTTTATTCTCTCGTGTTTAAATTAATTTGCTAATTTCGAGTTAAAAAAAGGTTCACATTTAATCTTTTAAAATGTATCACGGCAATTTCTCTGTATAAACCGATTTACAGTTACTTCCCATTTTCGCAAACTGCTGTTTCTTCTGTTGTGTCGTATTTTATCAAGGGCAATCTGACTGCATCGCAGTAGTTTGGCATCGGGCATTTCTTCTAGCTGCTTTTATGTTCTGTGGCAGACAACAGGCTCCCATCGCTATAGTAAACCCCCGCGCGTGAGGATGTGCAAAAACCATACTAAAACTAGGATAGGCTACTGTCCTTGTAATTTTACAGTCATTATAACTGTTAGTACTACTTATATATCTGAGGCATGTAAGACTTCTGTCTGGTAAAAAAAGTAAAGTTGTTGTGTAAAATAAAGCAACTCAAGTCACACCTTTTGAAAATCAGTCACTATGCTCTTTTGCTGTACCGTTTTTCATTGGTCTTACACTTTATGTTCCTCTTACCTAAATGTAAAAAGTACCTTTCTGCCACCTGATTTAATTTAGTTAGGCAACTAACAGCAACTTCAACAATTCGAAGCATGCAGCAGTACAAAAAGTACACATCAGTCCCTATGGACCACTTCCCCTCGTTCATAATTTAGGAATTTTTAGTACGTCCCATTTTGCCTGTGTATGTCTCTGCTTTTTAAAAGCTGCATCCCCCTAGCTGAACTTCGGAGATAAAGGAGCTTTCCCGCAAGAAAAGCCGGGAGGGTTTTGGCGGACACGCATCGTGTCCCGGAGCACATTTCAACACCCATCCCCTGCGCCATCTGCGCGTACGGCGGTCACCGCTACCCGGCCCGCGGGGCAGCGTTGCT